TCTGCTTGCAGCTGTTCCCTGCCCTCCGGCGTGTCCACTTCTCCCCATAGCTTTGTGTCATCTGCAAACTTGGACAGAGTATATTTCACTCCCTCATCCAAGTCACTGATGAAGACTTTAAAGAGTATTGGTCCAAGGACCGAACCCTGTGGGACCCCACTTCCCACACCCTTCCAGGTCGAAACCGACCCATCCACCACGACTCTCTGGGTGCGGCCCTCCAGCCAATTCGCCACCCACCGGACTGTGTAGTCATCCAAGTCACAGCCTCTTAACTTGTTCACCAGTATGGTGAACAGTTCACATTGGTGGCCCATGTTCATCTTGGAATCAATAGTGATTCCAAGATCCTTCTTTGCCTGTGTGCTGACAAGAAGGGAATTCCCCAGCCTGTAGGTATGCTGCTGGTTCTTCCTCCCCAGGTGCAATACCTTGCACTTGTCCGTATTGAAACCCATCCTAGTCTCATCCTCCCACCTCTATAACCTGTTGAGATCTAGTTGTAGCCTGTCTCTCTCTTCTAGCATGCTCACTTCTCCCCACATCTTAGTGTTATCTGCGAACTTGAACAAGGTGCTTTTCAACCCCTCGTCCAAATCGCAGATGAAGATATTGAACAGTGTGGGCCCGAGGACCGAGCCCTGAGGAACCCCACTGCTCTCATCTCTCCAGGTCAAAAATGACCTGTCCACCACCGCTCTCTGGGTGCGGCCTTCCAGCCAATTTGTGACCCATCTGACTGTGTAGGCATTGACATCACAGTCACCTAATTTTTTAATGAGGATGGGGTGAGAGACATTGTTGAAGACCTTCCTAAAGTCCAGGAAGACTACATCCACCGCGACACCTGCATCCAAGGCTTTTGTGACCTGGTCATTTAAAAAAGGACTTCTTGTTATAAATTCAGTGTTTTAATTAGAGGGGCAAATTCTTAAACATTTTGTCCCTTGGGGCTTTTGTTTGATGGTAGCTTGAGTACTTTACTATAACAGAGTTACTTATTGTACAAATGATTTTTTATTTTGTTTGCAGTTGTGTTAATTTGTCACGGATGATACTTGCTTAAATCTTTGTCTACTAAGCATGTTATGTACACAATTTAGAGCAAATTACCCTCTACTTGTGTTGGCAGCAAGAGGAAGTGGGGATGCTAACCAAATTACAGAAGAATTACTAAATTATAAATTGTCCATTTCTTGCATTTGCAAATAATCTAATGGAAATTTACCAATGTCCTGCTTGTAAGCTACTGATGGGCTGTTTGTGACTTCCATGAGGTCTGTAAAGACACTTACATGACAATGTAACTGGTGATATGTAAAGAAATGCTGACAAATTGGGTTGGTGCATGGTCTGTGTTTTTTCCATAAAGAAGGTGAATGGGAGCTCATCAGACTTTGTCCTTGTTCATGTACCTTAAGTTGGTGGTTTATTACAATGGCAGGGCAGATAGTAGGAAAGAGCTGAAAATACTGTGCTCTCTTTAATATACCACAAATGTATGTTTTTTTATAATATGGAAAGTAAAATCTTGGTATAGCTGGCTTATAAAGTAAGGGTGTAGGATGATCTAGCTTGATGGATGATTCTAAAACAGTAATTTTCTATTAGTATGACTGATATGAAATATTGTGAGTGGGTGAAAAAGGCATAGTGTGTCACAAACCATGCAAACATAACATCGGTGGTCACAAACCATGACTGCGCAGTAACCACCAGTACTACATAGTCTTGGCAGTGCATGGGTCATTTCCAACCCTACTGAGCAGTAGCAATAAGCTACTTTGTGCTCATTGTTGCTGTGCAGTAGGGTTGGAAATGACCCATGTGCTGCTGGGACTACGCAGTACTGGTGGTTAATGCGCAGTCATGTTTTGTGATCACCGACTCTGTGTCTCCATAGCTCATTGCTATGGCAAAACAGCGTCTCATGTAAGTAAAAATGTAGGGGCAAACTCTGTTCTCAAAGGGCGTGTCTATACATACATTTAATCCAGGCTCAATTTACTCGGGTATAAACTTCTGTGGATTAAGTACTCCCAGGCATGCATCTACACATGCAGGGTAGGGAGAAGATTTGCTGCTCTTAGCACCAAACTTCTTGCAGCCCTACAATGGGCCCCTGCCACCACCAGGGGAAGCTCCAGGGTCTGGCTGCAGCTGCAAGCAGCCAGCAGCCCTCTTTGAAAGCCAGCCCCACTTGCTGCTCTCTGACGACCCATTTCCCTGCCCAGGAGCAGTATGCCCAGCACTGGGGAAGCACACAGTACCTCTGTCCTTGCCCACTCTGCCTCCTTGCACAATGACTGCTTCAGCCCATGCCCCAGGCAGTGATGATGACCAGTGCCCCAGGCTCCTGCTGGCTGCTGCACTGGCCCTGCTAGCCTGCTGTGCTGATCACCACCTGGCCTATGGCTGTCTCACCCCGCCCAGCTCCCCCAATGCAGAGACCACCTGCCTGGCCTCAGAGCTCTGTCTCATGGCTGCTGCTGCTGCCAGACAGCTGCTGCCAACATGGATGCCGATGAGGACCTTCTGGACACCACCACCAGGGCTGCTGCCACCCTCCTAGGCCTCCAGCCCCACAACGAGGGCTAATGGTGGCTCATCATTCAGAAACACCTAGAATGATGAGCAGTGGCTGGAGGCCTTCTGCATGACCCAGGCCACCTTCTGGGACCTCGAGGAACAGCTGTGGCCACATCTGGAGTGGCAAGACCACAGACCATGTGACCACCCCTCCCCATGAACACCCACCTGACCCTTGCCCTGCTCAAGCTGGCCACACCCACCAGTCTGTGGTATGTCAGCCACCTGTTTGGCATGGGCAAGGCCACCACTGGAGAGGCTGTCCTAGAGGTGTGCAGAGCCCTCCAGGACATGCTGGGGGGACACTGTCCTGTATGCACAACACCCAGGAATTGGTGGTGGGGTTCCCTGCCCTGGGCTTCCCCCAGGGTACTGGGGCCCTGGACAGGACCCAGTTCCCCATCAGCTGCCCACCCCATGGAAACTGCCCCTATTACAGCCAGAGGGACTTTCACTTCATGGTGCTCCAGGCCATCATGGACCACCGTGGGGCCTTCACACACATGAGCACTAACTGGGTCGGCAGTACCCACAATGCCCATGTGTTTTAGAACTCTGGCCTGTCACTTCATGTCAGGGGTGCTGGACCTGCAGCTGGGCATTGTGGCCTTCCTGCCCCTCCTCAGTGGGGACCCTGTCTACCCTCTCTTGCTTTGGCTCATGCAGCCCTACACCAGCCACCCAGACCTGTGCAAGGCCCACTTTAACCACTGCCTGGGCTGGACCCATACCCTGGTGGAGCGCACCTTCAGATTTCTCAAGGGACCTTGGTGCTCCCTCACTACCTGCCTTGAGTTTGTCAAGATGAACCTCCCCCAGGTCATCATCACAGCCTGCATGCTGCATAATATCTGCAAGGCCTGGGGAGAGCTGTTCCACTAGGCCTGGGCAGAGGAGGCACAGTGGCCAGAGTATACCTGGCAGTGGAAGCACCACCTGCAGTGGCAGCGACAGCAGTGGGACCCCCGCACTGAGGCCTTGGACAAGCTGCACATCCACCAATGGGGGCCAAGGCACTAGGTGTGGGAGGCTCTGGCTGACCACCTCCTCCAGCACTCTCTGCTCTAGTGCACCTGCACTGTTGCCCATGCCCCCCCCAACCTGCCCACCTCCAGCACCATGCTTACTGCAGACACATGTCAGAAGAACAAGTTTTTATTTCCCTCACATCAAGTTTTTATTCCCCTCACATTGGTGGCTCCACTTGATCCTGGCTGTCAGCAATGAAATGTGGCTCTAGCTGGTGTCCTTGGATGGTGGGGTGTAGTGTGGTGTGGTGTGCAGATGCCCAGGCAGGGTCCTTCCCTGGAGAGAAGCTGGCACTGCTGATGGCCGGTGGTGTCATGGCTGGCCACACCTCATGGCTGGGCCTGGGGCTGTGGAGCTAGCAAAGCAGGTCCTGGCCAGGGCTTCCCGAGCTGCTGGTGGAGACTTCAGTCAGGAAGCTCAGTGGGATGGGCTGCTGGACACACAAGGGGTGGGGTGGGGGCCAGGGTTGAGGCTCGGGCAGGCTGCCTGTGCTGCTGTAGACAGCACATCTGGAGCCTGGGTTCTGGGGTGCAAGCATGGCATCCATTTGCTGCATAAAAGGCATGGACTTACGGGCACTGCTGGATGGATGATTGTGGTCAGTCAGTGACCCACTGTGCCTGCATGCCCTTGATGTCTATGCAGTACTGCTGCGACAACCAGTTGTGCCTGTACTCCCACATCTGGCTTGACAGTGCCTTACAGATGTGGGTGTTGGAGTGCCCATCCTGCTCAAACTGGTGCCACACTTCTGCCTCACTCCACAGTGCCACAAAGTTACCAGTCACCTTCTTAGACCAGTTGGGGCCCTGGGTGGAAGCATAGGCATGGGCAAGGGTTTGGGCGAGGAGGATGCCATGTGGGATCCCACACTGGCTCTCTGGGCCCCCAAACAGCTGTACCAGTGCTGATGGGCCTGGCACAGGACTGGCAGCTACAAGGCAGAGGCAATGCCTCACAGCACCTGCAGGCTCAGGGCAGGCCTGGGCAGGTGAAGCTGGCTCTGCTGGCCAGAAGCTGCCTGCAGGTGGGCCTGGGGGCTGACAGGCCTGGCTGGAGGTTTCAGAAGCCTGCAGCTCCTGCTGGCCTAGAAGGCACAGTCCTGGCAGCTGTGTGGCAGTGTGGTGCCAGGCAGTGGTGCTGGGGTGCAGGCAGGCTGGCACACCTAGGCTGCAGCCTGCCCAGGGGGACACAGGGGCCTGGAGAGGACATAAAGGTGTTGGGTTCCGTATCAATAGAGGACAGAGGACAGAGTAGCAGAAAACAGGAACATCTTCTATGATGACCACCCTAGGCAGGAGAGGCTCCCAGCCCAGAGCCCTGGGGTTAGCCTGAGGCCAAACTTCCAGTGACAGGGCAGACCAGAAGCAAACTTGCTCCCAGGTCATGTCTACATGTTTGTTGCTGCACATCTGTGCGCACACTTAATGTGCAGTAAACTAGGCTACTGCAAGTTTACCCCAGATCCCTTGCTGGTTTAAGTTAAATCAGACACCCAGAATCCTGGCATGCGCTCTGGGCTGGGCGGAGCTCTGCTCCAGTGAGCTGGACTGGCCCCTCCACTCTGCTGTGTAGTTGGAGCAGGGGCAGGGTGTGGCCAGATGTTGGCCTGCCATGGCCCCTGAGGCAAATTCCTCCCTCTGTCCCATCTCCCTGCCCCCCACCTCCACTGACAAACCCTGGGGACCGCAGCTGGGGCTTGCCAGTCCCAGCTGCACCTCCACAACTTGCCGGCAGCCAGGCAGAGATGCAGTTAATTCCTCGCTCTGTCCCCTCTCTTCCTTGGAACCCCTGGGGGTTTAGCTGCAGTCTCTGCTGCTTCATGCAGTCAGGCAGAGATGTGCCTGTGAGCCCAGAGCTAAGACCTGCAGGACCAGACTGAGAGGTGGGAAGTGTTAGCAAAGACCTGACAATCATCACACATGCTGGAGTTAAGGGAAGTTGCAGACAGCTTCACCAAAGCATGCAGAAAGCTACATTTACATTAAAAAGCAGAATGTGTAAAAGTTGGGAATACCTAAACAAAGCTTTCTGAATGCCTTTCTGTAAGGAGACACTGCCCTCAGGATTAGTAAAATCAATTCTTGTCTTCCTGGTTTACATTTTAAGTTAGACTAAGTTGTGTATGCTGTGATTTACTGGCCTGTATCTTAGCTTAGGCAAAGATTTTTGGTAGTTCCCTGTTGTATGCTTTGCAAACTGCTGTGTTTAATACATGCTTGCTTCAGAGAAAGGACTTTTTCCCCATACCCACTCCTCAGTCTGGCAGCAGCTCCCCACCCCCACCCCCAGGCTGGTGGCTGGCATCCCATGTGTCCTTCTAGCCCTAGTTGGTGCCTGGCCATGCCCCCTCTGCTTCAGCAGGGAGGGGTGAGAGCCTTGGAGGACGTCTCTGTTCCCTCCCCTTTGGCAGTGGCTGGCAGGCATGCTCTAGTGCCCCCCAGCTTCTGGCTTTAGCCACTGCAGGCATGTGACTGCATGTCCTGATTTAACGGAGAATGTCTGTCAAGTTATTTATCAGTTTAAGCTGCACAGCTTAAACTAACCTGCAAAGAGTGAATCCATTTAGGCTCAGGCTTTTTGGATGTCTGTCCCTAGCCTATGCGAGTGAGAGCAGGATTTGGATCATGGCCTTGAAGATGTCCTCAGTCCAAATTCCTTGAAGGCAGTTTGTGGTCTTTTCAAACTCCACTAGTTTCTCAGATATTTTCTTTTAAAGTCCAATTGCTCCAAAATGATATCACCAGACTTTCACAACCTAATGAAGAAACACAAATGAAAAACCAACCAGACATTTGACCTTGATGAAGCAAACAGAAGAAAATAAACTTTAAGTTTTTTTCAAGCCAAGATGTTATTGATATACTGGGCAACAGAGAAACTTAGGAAACCATTGAGAAATTGTATCACTTCTCTTTTTAAACTGTCATATATAGTGCAAGAGGCAAGGATCTTTGTAGGTGCTATCTTTTATTGGACCATCTGCATGGCTGGGATAAATTTGGACAGGCTTTTGAAGGATGGGCACCCATCCCTATGGTGGATGGGTGCCCATCAGACTTCATTCTTGTTCATCTACCTTGATTTTGTGGCTGATTACAATGGCAGGGCCGGTAGTAGGCAAGATGTGAAAATATTGTCATCTCTTTAACATAACACACATACAGGGTGAAGCTTGCTGTTTTGTATATGGAAAGTATAATCACTGGACCGTCAATCCAGCACTACCATATTGAGTGCAATTGTTTGAATAACTTTATACTTTCCAAGACATACCTCCCTAGTACTATAAAAGCACACACACACACACACACACACACACACACACACACACACACACGAAATTTCGTGGAAATCTATTTGCATATGCTAAACTGATAGGGGTTCAAAAGCCTACTGTAAGTGGTAACATGAACTAGAGAGACAGCAGCCCTTGTTTAAATGCTTGATTGCTGAACAGTAAAAGTTCATTACTGGTGTTTTGGATTTCATTGTTTCTTACGGACAAACATTAATATACAGTGTTACTCTGCAGTACTGTTTTTGTTGTAATGTCTCTATTTTTAATTTCCCCTTATAATTATGCCATGACTTAAGAGATACCAAGAATGCAGGAAAAGCCTGGTTACTATGGATACCACATTGCCATAAGTTAAGTGGTTCTCACAGTCCGAGAGGCCTCTGTCCTAGGTGTTTAATCTGTGCAACAAAGACTTTTCTGTGTTAAAGTGGGTATTGACAGGAGGCTGATTGTAATATTGGTAGTGGCACATTTTGAGCCTTAAGACCACAGGAGGGCAAATGTGTCTTGACACAATTAATTACTTTCAGATTCTTAGGGTTATGTGAGCCAAAATAGTTCATGTCTTTAATATCTGAACAGAGCTGAAGCTTCCTATTAGCTGTAGCTCTAAAGTGAATGGTTAGTTGAACTGTATATAAGGAGTCTGCTCCATAAATGGAGCAAAGATAATTGGAACTCCATTCACTGAGCTCCATTTAAAAGCAATACACGTACACGGGCACAAAAAAATAAAGAAAGAAAAACCCCAAAGGAAAAGAGAAAACAGGTGGTTACTTTAACTGATCAAAGGAAAAATAATTACAAGGAGGAATACATGTCTATTCATTTATAACTCATAAATATTTTATTATATTGTGCTAATATAATGGACTTAGGGTACTGCTGCAGTTTGGATGGCTGCATGTAGCAGAGAATAGGGAGCCTTCCCCACCCCTACCTTTTGCTTGAGCCCTCTGAGGGTCCCAACTATATTCTGGGAGGAAAACCGCAGATATCTTCTCTCTGCCTCTCTGCCAGGACTTTACACTCCATAGCTGAGCCCTGTTTCTTTCTTCGTGGAAAATATATCAAGTGAAGTTAAGGTGGATAAAAAACTGTCAATAACTTCTACACAGTAGTGTAACTTAGGGCAGGTTAGAGGAGGCCCCATAAAATCTCAATTTATTAGGAGCTCCTGAACAGATACCATGCTGCTGCTATAGAAGGAAGAACAGATGCATGCAAACTGTGTCATGGCAGCAGCAACACCTGGGAACTTTTTTTGACTTTCTGTAGCGGGTAAAACACTTATTCCCTATCTCCTCACCTGTGTGCGTGAGCGCGCGCGCACACACACACACACACACACACACACACACACACTCCCTGCTAATTATGCCTCTGATTAACCATAGAGCTTGGCAAACAATTTCAGCCAAAGAAAATGTTTCAAAGAAAAAATCTTTTTTTTGACACAATGGAAATTTTTGTGAAAGATGCTAATTTCTGTCAAAAACTTTTCAGTACCTCAGCAACCAAAAATTAATATATGTATTAAAAAAATCAATAGGTCTACTCTGTGGTTGCACTGCCATCAAGATGAATTTTATGGGCCAAAATGGAATTTAAGTACCTAAAATGAGACTTTGGTACATTTTGGCAATTCGTTCAAATCTGAGTACCTGAAAATCCCTGCTCAGCTGTAGCCTAATCCTGTAGGCATCTAAAATCTGTAAGTGCCCCAGTATATGTCCCTAAACGTATCCATGGTTCCCCATTCAGAAGCTGCCACTGCGGGGTTCTACTTGGTGATGAGCAGCTTGTAAAGAGTGCACCAGGCCTGGTGGGCTTGTTCTGGTGTTGCTGCCACTAGGTGCCACCTCCCTGTTATGTTGAGGTAGGCAGGAAGAATGTGGGCATGATATACTTTGACTGCCCAAATGCAGTGCCTCCCAGACAGAAACTCAAAGCAAATCCCTACTCTGTTCTCACTGGGCATGGGGAATGACTGTAGAGTGTTGGGCCCACCATTCTTATCAATGTCAATGCCCAGAGAAATAGCCAATGATGGAATGGACTATCTAGCAGGTGCCATTGGGGAAGGCCTGTCATATGGGGAGATGGTCCTCCAAAGCAACAACAGCATCAGCAGGGAAGGCAGCCTTCACTTCAACCAAGAGGCAGGAAGTAAAGCAGGCAGGCAGGGGGAGGGGGGCGGGGGTGGGGAGGGATGGGACTGGTTTTGCAACAGTCCATGCAGCTGCTTGTTGCTCCTTCCCACTGCCTGATGCAGCCATATCCCTGCTCCTTGCCCCGCCCTTCCCCCAGCCACTCCAGTACCAGCTGGTTCCCAGCTGCAGCGCTGGGATCACAGGAGCCAGCCTAGCCTGGCTGCGCCTGGCCCTGAGGACTGGGGCAATCACCCGTGGTCCTCTCTTGCCTCCCTCCCTGCTTCCTTCTTCTTTGTATTTCCTTGGGCGCAGGGAAGCAGGAACAGTCCTAGGGTCCCAGGCCAGAAGCCACTGGTAGGTAGAGGCTTCCGGTTGGGGCTGGGAGTGGGGTGGGGCTGGATTGGCCTTGCTGCTCCAGCTGCTTAGTACTGCTGTTGGCTTCCCCTGGGTCCTACTGCCCCTGTCTCCTGCCATCTTTGGCAGGCAGCCAGGGGCAGATAAATATTAATTTTTTCAATGTTTTGGGGATCCTGCAGGCTGGATAGAATGGCCTGGTGGGCTGAATTCAGCCCATAGGCTGTATTTTGCCCACTAATCTGAATTGGTCTTGATTTAGTGCACCTCAAATACAATCTATTCTCAGTCGCATGTGCCATTTTTAGACTGGTTTATGTGCAGCAAATATGTGTACTGTTACAGGTTTATATTGATTTATATTCACTTAGACCTATTCTAAGCATAACATCTATACATGCCCAGGATGTCTACTGAAAAGAAAAAGGAAGAGAGAGGGAGAAAAGGGCAGGGAAATAAATGCTTTTTTTTGTTTCTAGAATCTCTTTTGCTGAGAACAATTCTCCTTGGTAGGATAAAAGGATAGACTGTCAGCAGTGTGTAAAATCAGCATTCACTACAAGCAATAGAGCTATGCCCATTGACACTCACTGAATAACTGGTTTAAAGTATTGAGATACTAACCCTGATTTGGATTCTACTTTCACTTGTATAATTATTCTGGGGGCTACTCTCATTTATGGAGGTGAAATCAGGCCATCTGTTTTAATTTTTGAAACATACTTTTGAATAGGAACAAGAAACATTAGGTTGTACAGTATCAGGCTACTGTTAGCTCTTTTTGGCTGTGTCTACCTGTGATGCTACTGTGCAGTTGTTACTGCACATTTACTTAGTGCTTGTATAAAATAAAGTACTAAATAAATAGGTACTAAATAAAATGCTAAATCAATGCACAGTAACCTAAGTTACTGAGCAGTAGCACTAATGAATGCCTTTTTTGTGATGCTACCGAGCAGTAGCCTAATACTAATGCACTGTAGTGTCGTGTCATGGTTTCTGCCACACGATGCTACTGTACAGTAATATCAGACTACTGCTTACTCAGCATCTTGTGTAGACGCAGCCCTTGTGTAGTTGAAGGACACACTGGATGCCTGTACATGTGCAGGATGTCTGCTCCGGTGAGTTCTAATTAGAACACATTAGAGCAGACTCGATTAATCAAGTCTTCTGGAGCGTTCTAATTGGAAGTCTCCAGGAGCCTTGCTGTCACTTGTATTCAGCATCCCCACATTTCAAAATAGTGGCTGGTGTGCTTTAACTAAAACTTGTTGAGTGAGCTTTAGTTGAAGCATCTCTGGGCATGTGTAGATGAAACAGGGGACCTAAATTGAAGCTCTGGGTTTTTAAACAGATCATCAGGTCCGATCCCCTGCCCTGGGCAGGAACGGGTGCTGGGGTTGTATCGCCCCAGCCAAATATCTCTTGAAGACCCCCAAGGTAGAAGAGAATACCACCTCACTTGGGAGCCCATTCCAGAGCCTGGCAGCCCTAACTGTAAAGTAATGTCTCCCGATGTCTAGCCTGAACCTTCTCTCTAACAATTTGTGGCTGTTATTCTTAGTAATATATATATATAAAATTTTCTTAGCTTGCACATAGAATTCATTAGTACACACTCCAGTTAACTCCAATGAGTTAAGTTAGGGCAAAGCGTTACAAATTGCAGCATGCCATTTATACGTGTATGACACACTGGTTTAATGGTGCTGCTTTTTAAAAATACTATTTTGTAGGGCTGTGTGAAACGGCAGTTCACACAGTTCTGACTTCAGTTTCGAGGTTTGGACAGAACAATGTTTTGTATTGAATATAGTTTCAAGTTGATACAGCCTCGCTGTTTCACTTCGTCAAAACAATGAGTCTGTTTTGACGCTGTTTTGACCATTTTGCCAGACCATGGGGCTGGGGAAAGGAACTCAGCCCAGCTGGGCTGTTCTCAACCCC